AGACAGGGACCTGTTGGAGCGGGTCCAGAGGAGGGCTACAAAAATGATCAGAGGGATGGAACACCTCTGCTATGAGGAAAGGCTGAGAGAGTTGGGGTTGTTTAGCATGGAGAAGAAAAGGGTCCGGGAGACTTTATAGCAGCCTTTCAATACTTAAAGGGGGCTTATAAGAAAGATGGGGACAGACTCTTTAGTAGGGCTTGTTGCAATAGGGCGAGGGGTAGTGGTTTTAAACTGAAAGAGGGTAGGTTTAGACTAGATATAAGGAAGAAACTCTTTAAAACGAGGGTGGTGAAAGACTGGCACAGGTTGCCCAGAGAGGTGGTAGATGCCCCATCCCTGGAAACTCAAGGTCAGGTTGGACGTGGCTCTGAGCAACATGATCTAGTTGAAGATGTCCCTGCTCATTTCAGGGAGGTTGGACTAGATGACTTTTAAAGGTCCCTTCCAACCTAAACTATTCTATGATTCCTCCCCCTCCTCAAATATTGAGACCTTTTCCCTGATCTCTGGCACAAACTTAGCAACTCAACTGCAAAAGTGCAGCTCTAACAGCTCTTTTCAACACAAACTCTCATTTAATGTCTACTCACCCAAAGGGCATTTTTCAAGGGAAACAGATCCCGGCATATACTCACAGATCAAAAGAAACAGCTATGTAGGCTGTGTCCAACCCAGTGAGAACAACAGTATGCCATAAGTACTGTCACTCACATACCAAGGCTTAAGACCCTGCTCAAGCACCTTTTGCTGTGTTACTCCTTTGTGCCAGCTAGCTTGTTCCCAAACCACCCCCAAAATCAAACCAGGGCTAGGGACTGTTCCTGGGAGGCAGAATACAGCCACTTGGTTTAGAGGCTAAGAAACCTCAGCAGGACAGCCCATGCTAAACCACACTAGCTTTCCTCAGGACCTGCATTTCCAGCTCTGAAAGGTGACTTCTTTGCTAGGAGAGATGTAGACAAGTGTCCTAATTGTGATATGCCTATTGTCCAACGTTCTGCACATGAAGACATCATTAGGAAATCATCAGTCACCCCTTACTCCCCTCCTCTGCCATCCCAGCCAGACTGCTTCCACTAGTGACCTACCTGCACCGTGCGCGTGCTATTAGTGCTCTGAAGAAACTCGCCTTCCTCCCCAGCTCTAACATCACCACAGTCCTCCAGCAAGCGCACCTTCATGCCGCGCACGAGGTTTGCCTGTAAGTACTCCACATAGCCACTGCGGTCTGTGAAGTCTGACGGGGTCAGGAAGGCACGACCTTGCTTTTTGTGGGGACCATGATTTGAAGTGAGCACAGGCATTTGACCAGCAGTGCAGGCTGGGGTCTTGGGCTGAAAGATGGAGTGGGTGGTGCGAGGCCGCAGCTCCCGTTGGGGCAGCAGCTCTGGCTTGTGGCTGTGGTCCCAGCCCATCACGTGCACCAGCTCCAAGATGAGGTTTGCCATAGCCATGCTGAAATCAAACTCCTGCTTCACACGGCTCCTCTCCTCAGCGAGCGGGCCGGGCACAGCGCAGTCCTGCTGCTCTCCTCCCTGCTCCACGCCACTGCTGAGCTTGTCCATGAGAGAAGTGACACACAGGTAGCGCTTCACCAGGACAAACAGCAGCTTCCCAGGGATCTGCAACAAGCACGGCTGTCAGACTCTAGCCTGCAGAGCGCCTCCAGCCCCCAGCTCTCTCCGAGCCCCCACCTCATCCATGGCCAGGCCCCTGTGATAGCCCCGGACCAGCAGGCAGCAGCAGAGACCTCTCAGCCCACCCTAGTCTCCCTCCTCAAAGACAAGACTCTCCATGTGCCTCTCCACCTCCCTCCAGCCTCAAGCCAGGCCCACATCCTGGGGGCATCCAGGGACACCAGCTCTGGCCCCCCACTCTCACCCCTCCTGACTCCTAAAGCCCACAGGCCCAGGGCTGGCAGGGCCTGCCC